GGGGGGGAGACGGGGGGGATCGGGCAAGAAGGCGAAGAGGGAGGAGGGGAAGATACACACACACCCCCGCCTGAGGTGGTATCTGCCTGGGGCAGCTACCCACCCCCCCGGCAGAGGGTTCTGCCCCAGAGTGGGTCAGTCTGTCCCCGGCCGGGGGCCCGTCGGGATTAATTCAACTTGTTTCAACCTCAAGCGTTGTGATGGTATTGGTAAACAACAGCTTTTAAGTCTTATAGTGGCGCATTTAGTTTAATTTCGTTTACTGGGGTTTGTATTCAGCCTGTCATACATACATGAAGTAAACTGTAAATTAAAAACACAAAAACAAAACCACAAAAATCCAGTGTTTACTAAAAGGTGACATGGCGATGGTCTGCCTCCAGTACTGATCTTGCACGACCCATGGGTGACAACACGTGTCCCTCTGTGGTGGTGGTGGTGCTGCTTCCTGAGGGGGCCGGCTGGTTTTTACAGAGAAGTAATGTCTGGTCCAGTGCAGCAAACCTACTCCTTGGAGAAAAGCAAGCATTTTTATTTCTATACCACAAGGAAAGACTTAACGCCTCCCTCCTCCGGCCTTCCCTGTGGTGACAGAGAAGTGAGGGTGCAACTTACTTTTATCTGGGCCCTTTATACCAGCAGGGCCGAGGCCCGCAGGAAGAGCCGCCATCTGCAGCATTTGGTGGCCTGTCCCTCATCTCTCCCCTCAGGCATGCCAGGGGGAATGTCACCATCCAAATCCACCCAGATGGGAGGTGCTTCCAAAGCGCCCGGCAGCGGGGAGGTTCCCCCTGTGCTGCACCAGAGCACGCTGAGGGGATGGTGACTCGCTGGAGGCAGGCCGCCAGGGTGGGTGAGGGCATCGCTCCCACCTTCCCCCTGGAAGCTGGTGCCTGTGACTGACCAGAACAGCAACGATATTTAAAAGATTACAAGCAGAAGGCAAGTGTGGGCACCATCTATCTCATTGCAGCATGGCGGTGGCACTCTCTAATAAACTTCAGTAGATTTCAGAGTACTTTTCACCTGGTCTCTGCTCTTCACAGAGCCATAGAACCATAGAATGGTTTGGGTTGGAAAAGACCTTGAAGATCACCTAGTTCCAGCCCCCCTGGCACTAGTGGATGTAACCTTCCACTAGATCGAGTTACTCAAAGCACCACCCAGCCTGGCCTTGAACACCTGCAGGGAGCTCCCTGGCCAACCCGTTCCAGTGTCTCACCACCCTCACAGTGAAGAGATCTTACTTGTCCCTGCTGGTTTGCCCTGTTCTCTCCTGACCTTCATATCAGTTATTTCCCTTTGGCACACCTTTCCTTTACACACTTTCCCTTGAACACCTTGTTGACTTTCCTCCTGCCTCTCTTCTCATAGGCAGCTGCCGTGTCACAGCTCTTAGACCTCATTGTCTTCACCCAGCCTCAGTCAGGCCCTCGGATGCTAACGCTCCACCTTGCCTTCCCCGTCACAGGCATTACCCAGAATACTTGTTTGAACAGGAACAGAGCAGAAACAGATAATTATTACCCACTTAAGAGACTGCTGTTCGCTTCTAATGGCAATGCCTGTCGAAAATAACCCTGTCTTTGGAGGCAAAAAGCAAGGCATCTAAATATGAGTATTACATTAGCTCTGGGACTATCTCAAAATGCCGTCATTTTTTAACTGTAATATCAGTCTGGCCTTAATGAGAGCTGTGTTTAGATACCCGCTTTTTCAGTCAAAGTGTTTTTGTTTGCCAAGCTGCCCTGTACGGCATTTTGTGCCGCAGTCTGAAATTCCCTCTCGCGCCCGCTGCTATTTTAAGCTGTGACTCACACTTGGCCTGTGACCCTCTTTGTGCCGGCACAGCCCGATGCAGTGCTGCTGCCTGACGCGGGGATTGCCCCGGCACAGAAGGCCCTCCCAGGGAACTGGCGCCTTGCCTGCCTGCGGAGGAGAAAGGAAAGAGTTTTCTTCCAGCCCAGTAACTCCAGCTGCCCTCCCGAGTGCAGGGATGCAGCCGCAGCCGCTGCCCTTTGTCACAAGGGATCGGGGAGCATCCCAGCCCCTGGTTGAGGAATGCATCCAAAAAGTGTTGTCAAATGTAGTGCTGGCACAAGAACGGTTTTTCTTCTGGAGGACTTTCTAGAAGAATTATGAGGAGAGGAATATATATACTTAGAGGAAGTATATATATATATATACACACACTTGGAGGAAAAAAATATATATATATACTTAGAGGAAATGAGAGATCGGGTACCGAGTATTACGTGTCAGCAGCCACCAGCTGTCTTCTGCAAACTCAGGCTGCTCCAATCCTTTCACAACATGTCAGAAGGGGAACTGAAATCACTCCAGGTTCCTTGCGTATAGATTGCTGCTCCTCCTTATAGAGGCAACTACCTCCCTAACCAAACTCAGAGAAGATTTTTTTTTTTCTTTTTGCTCATTGACTAGTAAAGATGTCCTGACAATGTTTAAACAAATAAGTACATCAACCCACCAAAGTATGTTTATATTATACATATATGTGAGAAATATCTGCTCTATTAAAGCCGTGAGTCGTGTCCTACTTTTATACAGTTGTGCTTCTTTTCCTCCATGGTGCATAGTAACAAAGCTCATATAGTAGAAAAATATCAGCATCTTGGTTAAAACATGCATTATTAAGTAACGTCTCTTATTGAATAGATAGTTAAGACTTAGCAAAATATTTATATGCTATTGATCTGTAATTCTCACAACCAGGAAATTGTATATTATTGTTTTGCTTCTTACTGGTTATGCAATGTTGTATCATTTATAAGAGAGGCTTGTGTGCCTGGACGCTGGTGTGTGTTTTGCAATTGTAACACTTGGTCGAACGACAGACTGCCTGTCTTCAAATCTAGCTTTATCATTAAGAGAAATGTGTGTGGTATACAAAACAAACCCGACAAGTAGGTTGTGGCAGTATATGCGAAATACGTAATAGTTCTTTTTTTAGGCTTCAATCCCATTAGCACAGCAAAAATAGTGTTTCTTGTGTGTGTTAAATCTAGGCTGACCAAAACGGTTGAGTGGGTCAGCTCCTGCTTGGGTAACATAGCAGACACATAAGCTGGTGTCCTTTAGTCTTTCTCCCACTCAAAGTGATGACTTTGTACGTTACCAAATAGCTGATGTCCTGTAGTCTTTGAGGAACCAAATGCATCCCTAGGGACTTGGGTCTCTGGGACGGGGGGGTGACACTGTTCAGCCATCATCCGCACATCCCTAGGGACTTGGGTCTCTGGGGCGGGGGGTGACACTGTTCAGCCATCATCCTGGAGAAATACAGAACCAGGCAGCATAGGCAATAGCCCCAGTGAAGGTACCTCATCACGAAAATATATTCCTTGGCAGAGAAAGTGTTTGAGTAATGTAGTTTTGAGAAACACTGCAAGTTTGGAATGTCTGGTTGCTTGTATATTTTCTCCTTTTCTGCTCTGAAAAACTTGTTTTTTCTGTTCACCATTTTATTGTTTCCTTGCTGTTTTCAGTGAAATTAAGCACT